CCTACTAAAGATCCAAACCCCATGAACATTTGCATTTTAGACCCACTGTGAGCCACAAGGAACAGAAAGACTAATCTGTATTTACCTTCATCATTTGTTTCTCAGACGTGTTCATTCGTTAAATTATTGTGGTGCACAATTTATTTATACTGATCAATAATCATTCAGTTGCATGATGGGTGAGAGATGATTCCTTCATTCAGTGTCCAATAACTCATCAGTCACCGATTAATAAATGATCAGTGATCAGTCAGTGACCAGAGTTTACTGTGAAACTTGATGAATACTGAAGAGCAACAACACAGAAACTTGTCTTTGACATCAAAGAGCAAAACAGAGCTGTCGCCATGGTAACATCAAGAGGGCGTAGCAGCAGTTTGACTTCTGTTGTTCTCCGTAGTAACCTGGGAAGGTGTGTTTTGCTCCGCCCCCTGCAGCTGCATGTCGACTCATGCTGAACAAACTGAAAGCAGGCAGCTTCATGTCTCCTCCGCTCTCACTGGAGCCTCTTAGGGGGAAATGACTAATTTCTCTCCGAACAAATGAGCTGCAGGACACACTCACTACAGGTCTTAGGTTAGGTTAATTTGTCATGTGCCGATCAACGCAAGGTCAATAATGCACTGAAATGCTCAGGACAAGAACCGCCTCGACTCGCCAAAAAACCCCAACAACAAGAAAAACAACAAGAAATACCAAAGCATGCAACAAAAATACAAAAACAAGGCATCAAAAGTGATAAAGAAATCCAGCAGCATGGTACTGAGTGGTTCTGTTGGCAGTGAGGTTCTGTTAGCAACATGGTCCTGTTAACAACACGGTCCTGTTAACAACATGGTCCTGTTAGCGACATGGTCCTGTTAACAACATGGTCCTGTTAGCGACATCGTCCTGTTAACAACATGGTCCTGTTAACAACATGGTCCTGTTAGCGACATGGTCCTGTTAACAACATGGTCCTGTTAGCGACATGGTCCTGTTAACAACATGGTCCTGTTAACAACATGGTCCTGTTAGCGACATGGTCCTGTTAATAACATGGTCCTGTTAGCGACATGGTCCTGTTAATAACATGGTCCTGTTAGCGACATGGTCCTGTTAATAACATGGTCCTGCTAGCAACATGGTCCTGTTAATAACATGTTCCTGTTAATAACATGGTCCTGTTAGCAACATGGTCCTGTTAACAACATGGTCCTGTTAGCGACATGGTCCTGTTAATAACATGGTCCTGTTAGCGACATGGTCCTGTTAACAACATGGTCCTGTTAACAACATGGTCCTGTTAGCGACATGGTCCTGTTAATAACATGGTCCTGTTAGCGACATGGTCCTGTTAATAACAAGGTCCTGCTAGCAACATGGTCCTGTTGATAACATGGTCCTGTTAATAACATCGTCCTGTTAGCGACATGGTCCTGTTAATACCATGGTCCTGGTAACAACATGGTCCTGTTAATAACATGGTCCTGTTAGCGACATGGTCCTGTTAATAACATGGTCCTGCTAGCAACATGGTCCTGTTAATAACATGTTCCTGTTAATAACATGGTCCTGTTAGCAACATGGTCCTGTTAACAACATGGTCCTGTTAGC